TACTACTACTACTACTACTACTACTACTACTACTACTACTACTACTACTACTACTACTACTACTACTACTACTACTACTCTCTCTCTCTCTCTCTCTCTCTCTCTCTCTCTCTCTCTCTCTCTCTCTCTCTCTCTCTCTCTCTCTCTCTCTCTCTCTCTCTCTCTCTCCTCGTCCGAAATGGGAAAGTACGGTCTGACACAAAGTGTGTCAGACCAAGATAAGGCTTCTGGAATTTGAAGCCTGAATGCGTCCGCACGTGAGCCTCATACTGGTTCGACACACTTTTGGGCCAAACCGTGTTTTTTCATTATTTTTTCCACGGTCCGGCAAGAATGTTCCGGACCAGAAGAACATGGCAAATAAATGCAGTCTGGCAGAAAATGTGCCGGACCAGCTTGTAGTTTCTGATGACCGGTCCAGTACTCATTTCTCCTAGACCAAATTTTTGGCCATATTCTTTCAATCCGCCACTTGTTTTACTGTGCCTAAGCCAAACCACATTTATGGGCCAATTCTGCCCATAAATTTTGTGCCAAATCGATTCCCATTTTTGCTTCGAGCAGTGTGCCACGTGAGTTGACGGAAACATGAGAGTACGTGTAGTAAAAAGGGTAGTTTTGTCATAAAATTACCACTGTTTGCATGGGGGGTAACAGTAAGAAAAAGCAGCAATTAGGTTAAGGGTGTGACACGAAAAGATTGTGGGGTTGAATGTCTACAAAGCACATTTCAAGGGGGTACGCATAATATTCTCCCTTGTTTTAACTTAATGCAAACCTACATGTGCTAAACCTTGTATTTCAGAGCATAGATGGTGAAAAGAGCATCCAAAATTATTATAGCCAAGGACAAAAGGCCACTTTTACTGGAATAGCATAGGTGACTTAGAACCATCAATACTCTCACTATAGTATATTTCTAGGCTGAATCTGAGACACTCTAAGGGAGAAACAGATCTCTTCTAAAACAGTTGCATACCTTAAGCAAACATTAATGCTGGAAATCAAATGTTAATATCCAAACCTGTCATACATAGGGGAAAAAATACAAGTAATGCCCACTACCACAACATGTCAGGCACCTCAGCCACCCAATAGTTTTTCAAAACTATCTTAAACATGAAAAACTATCTTAAACAGGCCCATCCATGTCTATGTTGTGGTGAGAAGCAACAAGAGAAGTGAATAGAAATAACACAAGAAATCAATAATGGTCCTATCTAGAAATTACCATCAATCTTCCCACCACCAAAACACGCGAGGAACCAGAACACCCTTAATTTTCCAAAAGTATCTTACATAGGCATCTATGTCTATGTTGTGATGAGAAGTATCAGAAGAAGTAAAAAAGGAACACAACAAAGCAACAATGGTCCTGTCTAGAAATTATCATCTCTCATCAAAGCAAGGCATCTTCATACACAAACTTCTTAGAAGCATAATTCAAAACTCCTAGAAATAGAAAAACCCTTTCAATCAAACCATATGTTATGCCAGTCACCTCTGGTGCCAGTTGGACCTTTTTCTTTCTTTTCTTTTCTTTTATATGATTCATATGTTCATTTAAGATATTTTCTGATTACCACTAACAATAAACAAGTCAATGACAAATACCTCAAAAGTGAAATATTCATACAAGAGTTTCAGAGTTCAAGGATTGCTTATTTATGTGAACATACCTACACAATATCGATGATTCTTTTTTCTTTCATCAGTGATTCAATCACAAGAAATTCGTTAAGAATTCTGATGACTCACCAATGCAAACTATTTCAAAACAGAATGAGTGAGCAATAAAAATAGAAAATGAACTCGTCTCCATTATGCTTTTGTCATGCCAGCAAACAAAAACACTATATGGTATAAAACTCCACCAATGTACATGATAATATGAATAAGAACTCGCCAACTTATCACCAAATAAAAAATAGTAAAAGAACTACTTGTAGCACCAAAAAAATAATATCAGTACCGAAACAAATGTCAACATCGAAATTAAAGAAAGCAGAACGAGAATCAAAATGCAGTGGTTCATCAAACAGATACCGCACTGATCTTAAGATGCCAAACCGAAGTACGTCCATTTTTAACAATAAATGTTCACAAAGAAAAGAAACAGCACAGGGCCTATGAAAAGGAAACAACACAGTGCACGCGTTCACGTCTATAGAGAGAGAAAGAAATTACCTGCAAAAGCTCCAGTAGTTCTTCCAGAATGTGTAAAGCATCCCTAATTGAAGAGAGACTTTTCATCTCACTTAATGAATCGTCAGAATCATTCTCTCTCATCAATTTGGAACTGAAATCATGTGAATAACAACAATTGGGGTGTTGTTGTGCTCCTATTCCCAGTAAATCGGGGTATCCATCATCACACATTGTCGCTTTGTTGCTGCCCCAACAATAAACTTCTTGTTGTTGATGGTGGTGGCTGTTTAGGCTTTCAACCCTGTTATTGTTATACTTGTATCGCTGAGCTTCTCAAATAGGAACCAAGCCCGCTCAATAACAGGCTCAAGCTTTCCCACTTCCATCTCTCTCTCTCTCTCTCTCAAAAAAGGGAAACTACACTACTTTCAGATATTTCCCACTTCCATTCTTTCAAGGGAAACTGCACTATTTTCAGATGCTAGGGAAATGCAAGTGGGCTCCCTCCAAAGCGCCCACAGAGTTCAGGCCATTCTTGTATTAATTACTGGTCATGCTCTTGTGTTACCGCGCGACCACCTTTTCGCATGATCCCAAGCCCGAACCTGGGAAAACCTTTTCCAGCTGAAAATTTGCGGTTTCATTGTTGATTCACCATGTGAAAACTTTCACCGGAAAAATAAAATAAAAATTAAAGAAAATTTGTCAGTTTTAGCTGTTAAAAACAAAATTACCTAATCAACTAGAGTCGGGCATTTACCTGAGAATAATACTCTTTGAACTCCGAATCATATTTTTGGTTTCCACTCTTGGATAGATATGGTCTGACTGATAAATCAAAAAAGGACACGGTTTCTGTTAGTCCTCGGACTCTTATATAAAAATGTGGTGCCCATTAATAATCAGAATCAAAATAAATTTTGAATCTGATTTTTAAGGAATAGATTATTCCTATCATGGGAATTATAGTATTTTAGAAGGAAATATTTGAACAATTGATTTTATTTTATTTTTTTTTAGAAAATATTTAAGCCATCGATTTTAGAAGGAAATATTTGACCCATTGATTTTAGGAACATCGTCCCTAAGGTATGAACTACTTTCCTTTTAAAAAAAAGCGGGGGGCCATGTGTTGATGGTGATCTGACGAGACCACCGGCTCTTTTCCCCTAAATTATTAAATGTAGAAAATAAAATGCATAGTTAGTGGTTCTCAACACAAAAATTTTTAGTCGAGTGGGGTTAAACGTGTGAACCACAAGAGTCGTGCTTTTGTTGTCGTAGAGAAGATCATGAACAAGGAAAACATATGCAATTGTTATATAACGGGAAAATATTAGAGGTTACTAGAACGGAAAAAGGAAGGCCAAGAGTCATGGGCCATCCAAGGATGGAATAAAACGTGAGGAGAGCTTGAGGCTGAAGGCAAAGCCCAATACTTTGTGTGTCCCGTGGGCTTTTTCTTATGATTTTTTCCCTTTAAATTATAAATTTGTGGTGTACAAATAAATAATAAAATAAATTTAATTAAAAACAGGTGGCCTAGATAATGTTAAAAAAACAAGTGACCTAGATAATTTAAGGAAAAATTTCATATAGAACTTTAATTCTTCGTATTATTTTATAGTAGACCCTCTTTCCATTTTCTTTCAAGCAGCATAAAGAAATCCCTAACGATCCCTAAAAGAGAGTCACTGAATCTTCAATGTCTACTATCTCTTAGACAGAGTAAAGCCGAATTATTTAATCCTTCTCTAGTTAATGGTTTTACTGCTATTTGTACAAGACCTATATGAAGATAGTTATAGCCCTTTTTGATATGATCTGTAATCATTCTAGTTGAAAAGAGTTGAAAGCTATCTTGATTTTCCATAACTGAGAGAGTTTCTGCAATTGTTTTTATTGAAAAACTGCTTTTAAACTCAAATGTTTCTCTTTTATAAATATCATTTGAGGGACCGTTGGAATATTCTAGTTTTGCAATTGTTTCTCAATATTATCTATTATTGTTTCTTCACTATTATTTACTCGTCGAGTATTATTACTAGAACTACCAGAAGCGGATCTATTCGATAGTGTTCTAAACAAATTTGTCATTTTATCTTAGTTTTTTCTTTGAGTCAACCGGAAACAGTCGCTGCACCTTATGGCCTTCCTGGCTCACGGTGGACTTTGGGTCACAACAACTTTATGTATGTTAACCAGATAAATGTACAAATTGGTTCAGTTTTCTACTGAATAAACTCGGCTCTGATACCATCAATAGCGGAAGAGGAATAAATAAAATTTATAAAGAAGAACGAGTAACATTCATACATAACAACATTGATTATAAAATAGAAACAGAAGTACAGAAGCAAAACAAAGATAGTCAGTTACGTGAAAGCTCGAAGTAGAGATGAGAGGCAGAAAGTAAAAGCTCGAAGTAGAGGGAAGAGGCAGAAAGTAATCACTCAAACTTACAACAATCACTCAGAAAGCACTTACTTACAAAGTATTAAACCCTAGCTATGATATTTAGAAGGAAATCCCAAGGTCTATTTCTAAAGCATTTATTTTCTTTTTTACACGACATTTATTTTTATAGTGTCCTACTTTCCCACAGTTTATAGCAAACTGGTATTTTTCTTTTTCCCTTTTGTTTAAAGGAGTGATCTTGTAAAAAAAAATTTAGGAAAGGTATTTTTCTTTCCTTTTGAATATCTAGACTTTGTCTTTCTAGAATCTCTAGAGTCTCTAAATTTCCATTTGTGAGAGGGGTTGGAAGTAGGTATTGTGCTAAAGCCTAATTACTCACAAAAATTTCCCAATTCTTTTTTCCCCGTCATTCTTTATTTCTCCAATTGTCTTTTCAATTTTAAGTCTGTGCATAAAGCAAGACCTTCAACACAAATTTCTTCTGATAATTCTCCAAGAGTATACAAAGAATAAGGAATAATTCCTCCATGTTTATTTTTCAATCTTATCTTAACTCTTTCTCCAAACAAATGAGGAAGTCTAGCATTGAATTTTTCTTTCCAATGGTCAACTTTACTATCTTCTCTAGGTAGCAGTCTGGAAATAAATGCATCTTTATACCATTTGAAATGTGAGAGAGGTGGACAACAAAGATTTGAAAGTAGATCTTCAGATCTAGCTGATAGAATTGTCGTACTCCCCACAAAGTGAAGTGCAATAGTATATATTAGAGTATTTACTGCATCTCTATCAGTGTCTATATTTTCAAGGACTTGTCCAGGTCCTACCTCACTTCTAACAGCCCATTGTTTAGTAGCATTTAATATTTGATTTTTTGCTTCTTCGTCCACATGAAAATCTCATCATCCTCTATGCCATCTAGTAAAACCACATATAATAGCTTTAGCAATTTCGTGGTCTTGGTTTCCACTCGCTTTACATGTTGTGGCATACATAGTCATATGTTTCATGAGATCTTGAATTTGTTTCTATCTTTATTAATGATATTTTGATTATAATCATGCACGATTGAGGAATTTAATAATCAAATTCATGATTATAATCAAAATATGTTACCACCCGAAAATGGAAGATACACTCCCAAAAGTGATAGACGATCCACAAACTTCCAATAACTGTAATATGTTAAGGAAAATATAAGATTATACATATGTCAACCTCCTGGATAAAGTAATAACCCAAAGATGGTTTATCATCATAAAAATAGTGGTACAAAAAGAGTTCACTTTTTAAATTACTGCTCTTATAGATTTAGGAGCCGATCTAAACTGCATAAATGAAGGACTAGTTCCCACCAAATGTTTCAGCAAAACAACAAAGGTTTTGAACACTATTGATGGTAGTAAAATGATAATAAAATATAAACTATATGATGCAGCAGTTTGCAATAATGGTGCATGCTTTAAATTTCCTTTTATAATGGTGAAAAGATTAAGCCAACCTGTAATACTTGGAATTCCCTTCTTAAACATGCTTTACCCCATTAGAATTGATAATACTGCGATAAAAGTTGATATTGAAGGATATGAAGTAAAATTTGACTTCATTGATAAACCAAGAGTTCATGAAATAAATAACATCAAAAATAAGATTTCTATGAAAGAAATATTTCTCTTTTATTTAAAAGAAGAAGTTAAGTATAAGACTATTGATGAAAAATTAACATCTCCACAAATACAGAATAAAATTAATAACTTCAAAACGATACTTGAAAAAGAAGTTTGTGCAGAAATCCCTAACGCTTTTTGGAATAGAAAGCAACACATTGTGAAACTTTCTTATGAACTAGGCTTTAACGAACAGAAAATTCCTACTAAAGTCATACCAATATAAATGAATAGCAGACTCCTAGAAATTTGTAAAACTGAAATACAAAAACTTCTTAACAAGAAACTAATTAGGAAAAGTTCTTCACCCTGGAGCTGTGCAGCTTTTTATGTAGAAAAGGCTTCGAAGATTGAAAGGGGAGCCCCACGCCTTGTTATAAATTATAAAACCTTGAATAAGGTTTTGAGATGGATTCGCTACTCGATTCCAAATAAAAGGGATCTCCTTGATAGATTAGTCAATGTCTGTATTTTCTCAAAGTTTGATTTAAAATCAGGATATTGGCAAATTCAAATTTTGGAAAAAGATAAATATAAAACGACATTTAATGTTCCTTTCGGGCATTTTGAATGGAATGTAATGCCTTTTGGGTTAAAAATGCTCCTTCAGAATTTCAGAATATTATGAATGACAGTTTTAATCCATATACTAAATTCATTATTCTCTATATTGATGATGTCCTCATATATTCTGATAATATTGACCAACTTTGGAAACATTTAAATGTATTTTTTAAAGCTATAAAAATTGCTGGATTGGTTGTTTCTGATAAGAAAATAAACCTTTTTAAAACCAAAATTAGGTTCCTTGGGCATAATATCTTTCAAGGAAGGATAATTCCTATCGATAGAGCAATTGAATTTGCTTCCAAATTCCCTTATATCATAAAAGATAAAAAAGAATTACAGAGATTTTTAGGATATCTAAATTATATTTCAAATTTTTATAAAGATTTAGCTTCAGATGCTAAACCTTTATTCCAGAGACTAAATAAGAATCCTCTAGATTGGACTAATTAGCGTACCATGACACTTAGAAAATTAAAACAGAAGGCCAAAGAATTATCTTGTTTAGCTCTATCCAATCCTACAGCTTTTAAAATCATTGAAATCGATCCTTCTAAAATAGGATTAGGAGATATCCTTAAACAAAAAATCCTAGATGATTAATAACTTATACGCTTTACCTCTAAAGTCTGGAATCCGGCACAATAGAAATATTCTACTGTTAAAAAGGAGATCTTAGCAATAATACATTGTGTCACGAAATTTCAAAGTGATCTACTTAAAAAAAAATTTCTCATACGGACTTATTGCAAATCAGCCAAAGACATTTTAGAAAAAGATGTTAAAAATCTCGTCTCCAAGCAAATTTTTGCTCGATGGCAAGGTATTCTTTCCGCTTTTGATTTTGATATTGAACATATTCAAGGGAAAAATAACCATCTT